GATTTCGTTTCAAAATCATCATTGGCATCATGAGATTAGAATGGAAATTTATTACCCTTCGAATCCCCGTAATTCAGATTGTAATTTAACTTTTTCTGTTTTTTTTTTCTTTTTTTTTTTTTTTACCTTAACCATTCGCTATTTTTACGATTAATAAACGATTAATATACGGTAGAATCACGATTGGTATATGTAACGTGTTCACGTAATACTCGAAGGTATCTACCGACGGAGACTTTACATAACTATACAAGGCACTTCATTTTTCAACAGTTGCTGAGGTAATAAGCAAAACGATCGAAAGTCTATTGAAATTGATTGAGAATTCGGTCTATCTTATATAAGGAAGAAAATTACAAAGGAAACTCAACAGATTCCCTTCGAACCACGTGGTTGTTACACGCACGATATCGTTGAACTCTCTTAATTTCTTACCTGTTGCAACAATAACCTTCCTCTATTGGTTAAATGTCGCACATGCGCCGTACGTAAGGATTCGTGGCAGTACTTACAACAATGACTCTTACAATCTGAAGTTCAATGTAGTTCGAGTGTGAAACACTGATGGATACTTGAACGTCAATTCATAAATGCTAATATTAGACTAGCTAGGCGGTTGGAACTATTTCTTAATACTGCTGTCGAGTCGCGTTCTTGTCCCGAACATTTCAAAGATTTACATCTTCTCGCGGGAGAAGACAATTGTCCTTCTTCCGGTCAGTGGAGAGAAATTCGAAAAAGAAAAAAAATCTCGGCGAATTCGATGAACGATCTAATCTTTCAGCAACAACAAAAAAAGAAAAAGAAAGAAAGAAAGAAAGAAAGAAAGAAAGAAAGAAAGATGGTGATCATTACCGAATAAAATGGCTCTGGCTGCCAGCACCTGAGATACGTCTACGGCTGTCACAGTCATAAATCCGCCGCGCGGAAACTGGCCACGTTAACACGCACTCGGAACTACATGTTAACCGCGAGATTTAAATGGCGCGCACCGCTCGAAAATCGCGACGCAGCTGGTATCGTTCGTTGTCCTGCGAACAACGTTTGCCTCGTCGCCTCGCAACGCGATCCCGATTGCCAGGGAATAAACGAGAACTCTCGTAGCCTGCGAGTAGAGAGACGATGTTGGAAGTAGCAGAAGAATTGGGAGTAAACAATCGAAGACCGACTGTGTCGATCGTCGAGCGTCGACTGGCCGCGAGCCCGACGACCGCGCAATATGTAGCGTAGTGTAGAGAGGACGACTGGAGCCTGTCTGCTCACCCCTGTGGCTGTCTGTTGCCTAAGGGCGGCCTCGTCCGGCGCGAATTCGCGGCGACACAGCAGCGGCGCGCCAGTAACGTGGCGACGCGGATCTTGACGCCATTCCCCGGCCACGTATGCGTCCCTGTACGTGTAGCTACCCTCTCGATACGCTTGTGTACGCTCGCGAGCACCGTGATACCGGCGCGAAGGGAGAGGGTGGCGGAGACAGACGGCAAGAGAGAGGGGAGAGATGTACGTGCACGGATGGGGCAACGAGGAGAACACGCTCTGGCAATCGTACACACGAAGGTGCTTGACCGAGTGAAGTCGAACGACTAACCGTATACCAAGACTTTTCTTGCTCCAAGCTAGAGATAAACAATGTCATTTGTGCTAGCATCCCCCGTTCCGGGGCTGCTCCGCGCGCCACCGAATCGGGCTTCTTTCCCCCTCGTGCGACGTAAAGCACGGCTAAATCGACAGTCCTCGCTGCCGTAAACATCACCGGTTTCCTCCTCTCCGATTGTTTATGCTATTCAGAACAATCGGAATTTTTACGCGTGCTGGCATTTATTACGTTCAATATTATTATCGTAGAAGGATCGACGCGTGCATAAAGATTTTTGTTGATTTTTTTACGACGCTGTATATATGTTAAAGGCTTCGATTGTTGGAGGAAGAATTAAAAAAAAAAAAAAAAAA